AAATAATCACATTTGGAGCTACTGTAATCAAATGTTTATTTCAACATGGATGCATAATACACAGGAGAGATTCTACTGGTGAGAACGGGTTCTTGTATCTTTCACCAGATGGAATTAACGAGCTAGGAACCATGAGTGTCTCAGTTACGGATTTAAAGAACTTTGACATTGAGCATACATGTACTCGGAGAGCAACAACAGCTTTCTTTTTTCTCCTGTGTCACCAACTCTCGGATCACTTTCCACTGGGCATTCCAGTGGTCAGTAAAACATTGAGTTCAATCCCATGTGGATGTCCTTGTGAGGACTCTGTTCAAAACACATCCTCATATTCCCAAAGAAGGTTGGTCCCCAAAATGTAGACAGAGTTATAAATTGTTCATAATCATGGACTGTTTAGGTTAGCCTTGTATCCTTTTCTGAATATATAGATCAGCTTCACGAAGACCTGTTTGTGTGTTTGTGTACATTACATATGAAAGAAAACCCAGCCTTTTAAAAGTTTCTTTTATAACAGAAAATGCAGTAAACAATATTCACAGAGCTTGGTTTAATTTAACTTAAATATAATTGCATTTCTAAAACGCTTCAATAAGTTTTTTTTTTTCTTTCTTTCTTTTTCTTAAATCAAAGTTACCAACACATTTTTCATGGTCCCAAACTGATTCCCTGTAGTTTCTTTAGGAAAGTTTTTTGTGATACACTTCTCATCTATGGAAGAATATTCTTAGATAACATTCATATTTCCTCTCTCTCTATAAATATTATGAAATAGTCCATCTAGTGAATTTTGTTTTTTGGTGCGAAGGTGTACATTAGGAGTTACTTTGTTAAATGAAACATGAAAAACTTGTTTTGTGACGTGGAAAGGATTTTAATAACTATCAAATGCTGTCTCCTCTAGTAGATCAGGAGATGAGGGAGGAGCCCGGTCTTGTTTATAAGACATTGCTAAACTGGACAGCCCGGAGGCCAGGTGGTGGACACCCCAAGGGGAAGGGTATAGGATGCAGACAGTGTGAGATCATTTCAGAGTCTTCACTGTACAAAGAATGCCAAGAAATACTAACCAGCACATACTACTTCAGCAAAAAGAGGCATTCACTTCCTTCTTAGTGTTGTGGAAACTCTTCTTTAGGTCAAAATGTAACCCAGCTGACAGACCCACTAACATAAACATTTCATGCCCTCTTTAAGGAGGCCCTGTGCTCTCTTAGGGCATTTCACAGCATGAACAAGGGCTCTTGGCATCAGTGGCAGGCACCATGTAACACGGACACTCTGCTAAACATTCGCCAGGGCTAAGGAATTAGAGGGCTAAGCTTCTACAGCAGCCACTAACCAACACCAACAAACAGCATGAGGGTCAATGAAGGTGGAGTGGTCCTGAGGGACCCACATTGCTTTCGAGCTCTTGAGGGGACAGGAATGAAACAATGGAAAGTTTAAAAACAATGACTTCTTAGCCCTTTAGCAACATATTAAAATTAGTTTTTAAGTGTTAATGGCTCCTGTAATGAACTTAGAATAGAAATGTATTTAAAGAAATAATTTTTAGGTACTGTAGGCATTTATGATTCTTCGAAGTCTAAATTAAGCTAAGCTGACAGGCGGGAACAAGGAGCCAGGCTTGCTTCTAGTTTTACGTCGGAAAGAATCTTGAGCTGGAAGAAGTCAATCCCCCTTTCCAGCATTTTCATTTTTTCTGGATGATCTTAGGTGACACTCACTGTAGGGTTCTTTCCCTATTTCCCTAAATGAAATTCTACTTCTCTGTTCAGTTGGTTTGTATTTCATAGTTTCTATGTTAGCTCTGAAACCAACATAGTTTTGTTTCTAAGGGTCTGTCTGCTGGAAGGTTGGCCTGGCCAGGGTTAGTTTCCTGGTGGACACAGTTACTATTGCTCTGAACCCACCCAATACTTCCCAGGTAAACTCTACTGTGGGTCTTTATATAAGGGGGAACAAAAGAGGAGGAGGGGAAATGGACTTTATACTTCAGAGTGCGTGAGTCGGTTTCGACCCATATCGACCCTGTATAGGGTTTCCAAGGAGGGGCTGGTGCACTTGAACCTCCAACCCTGCATTTCAAACCGATGTTGCAGTCCAGCGCATTAACCCACAGCGTCACACCAGGACTCCCACACCATTACTAAGGGCTATTAAATTATGTCAATTTTAAGTCTTATCGAAAGTTATCCATGAAGTTATTTAGAAGTGAAGGATCTCCTCCCAGACTGAGCAGCAGTCCGGGCACACTGGTCTCCAGGGGTACTAGCAGGAAGAGCACATTGTTCCCCCGTCCTTTTCTGTCCTCTACGTTGATGCATAAGGGGCCAGAGGAGCTAATATTTTCACCAAATGCCAACCCCGGAAGGCAACTCTGCATTGTTCTGAGGTGCTACCAGTGACTGGGTGAGTAAGTCTCTGCTTCCTCCGACCCTTCCTTCCATCGTACATGTAAAGAGACCTATGAGCAGATGGCTGCGTTTTCGTTTTAGAAAGAAGTGAAAACTGAGAACATCGAGACCAAGCAAGGCAATGGATCATCTTAAGTTGCCGGGCCCCTGCGGGTCCCCTCAGAGAAAACTCTCGGGGCACATCCTCCACAAGTAACCTTGTCCTCCAGAATCACTTCTTTCAGGAGAATAACCAAGGAATGCAACGCAGAAATCATATCACAGCCGGCATTTTATTCAATTCCATATGACAAAAATAGGACCCTAGACTAAGACATCCATTTCAATCAGTAGGTGTGTGGAGCCACAAGATTTCATCATAAAAAATATTGGATCTAGGTAACAATCCGCAGCTGCTCAAGGAGGCGCTGGCCCCACATGGTAATGCAGTATAAAAATATGTCTCTTCCCCATGCGGAGGGGCCGCTGGCCCTGAACACAGAGGCGGCCAGTCTCACTGGCCTTCCCGAGCCATCGTATGTACAGCACTTTACATTTCTCTTGTGAGGTTATATATATACACATCCTCTTGGTACCAGAGACTAACAACAAAAAATTCACACCAGAAAGGACACAGATAAATAATAAAAACATTAAACTGCTGAAATACAGCAACAAGAAGCCATCTCAGCTTCCCGCTCCCAATGCTTGGAGCACCTCCCGAGAGCTCCTCCGCGACCAGAGACGGTATGCTACATGACAAGCCCCCAGCCTGCAGGACACAGCTGTGAGTTCCTGCCCATTCCCGACAGGAACAGAACACAAGAGCATCTCTGCAAGTCTCTGCTTAGTCACAGGATAGGAGCCGCAGTCCAGCCCCACACAGGCCTGTAGTTCCTGTGGCCGTATTTCTGATTGTTCTCCTTTCCTACTGGAGCTGAGAAGACCCCACTGGGTTCGCCTACAGAGCACTACTCCGCGGGCCAGGCAGTCCCAAGAAACGTCATTGGTCAGGCCCCACCACGCTCACAAAGCACAAAAATGAGGTAGTACACAGAATACTTCCTTTCAAGTTTTGATTTCCCCCAGCCTCCCAGCGCCCTGGCTGAAGGGTACAGCAGACATCCCCCCTTCCTATATTGGGTGCAATTTAGACACAGGAATCAGCACAAGACTGCATTTGGACAACACTGTGGGAAGCTAATCGCCAAGTCAGGGATGCAGAGAACGAACGTGTGAGAATTACAAGCCCACTGCCAGACTTCAGCCTTCCAGCCTACTTTACTGGAAGGGCCACAACAGCCAGCATCCCTGGGCAGTTGGTACACTGGATCACAGTCAAATGATGCCCACGTAGCTCTTGCCTGACTTCCTGGTGGGGATTGGTGTCCCAGTCCTACGGCAAGGCCCGAGTCTGGCTAAGAGTGGTCGCTGAAGAAAACTCAATGAATCATTTAAATTGCAGAGCTAGTAGGCCCGATTTTACAGAGGACCGAACTAGTGCATCTCGGTGGCTGTTCTGTCCAAGTAGCATCCATTTTTCATTTTGTTTGATACGAAGACAAGAATCTTTTAAGTTTTTTTCTTCCCATTTTCCTTAAACCAAAGTACTATTTATAAAATACTTTACATCTTCTCCCCCTAAATTATAGACAAACCTCCCTAAATACAAAATACTAAAAGTGCAATAGTATAAATTAAGAGTTTGCAACCACATTATACAAACATTACCTTTTTTATTGTATAGCTTTGATAATGTGTAATATTGACTCACAACTGTTTATAATGTTGTGAATTAATTTCTGGTGATGTGTGTCTGTAACTTGTTATCCAATCACTGGGTTACAGACTGCACTACATTTCTCATTTCATAGAACAACTGTCCACATAGCAGCTACAAACATATTTAAATTAAAAAAAGGGGGAGGGGCTCTGTACGGACAGGTACTTGCACATGAAAAGCATGCTCTTTCCCAAGAAAACGTCACAAAGTTGCTGCATTTAAAGAACCCACTTATTTATAGTAGAACAAATCTTGCTTTAAAAAAGAAAAAAAAGAAACGAAACCAAACCAAACCACATAGCCAGATGTATTCTGCAGCACAAAAGCTTCATTTAAGGTTGGGGCTATTATATTGTCTGTTACCCGCATATTCTTACATTATAAATACTACGGACGCAGATACTGTAATCATACACAGCGTTGGGGGACTAAACCACTTCTTCTTTAAGATTAGGATTTCTAAAAACAGCGTTCAAGTTTCTAACTCAAGTGAGCAAAACCCTCAGAGCTGCAGGAAGCTCCATTTTTCCCTCTCCAGGTGGGGAATGTTAGGTTTTAGCAGAAGCAAGTGGATGTGCCCTATGCTCTCAGTTCCTGACACGGTTTCCCATGACTTTTTCCACTTAAATTGAGAGGGTTTGACTTCTCAGTGATTGCGGACAGACCACGTAGCCCCCCCGAGTGGGGGGCAGGGATCTAGCAGCCACAGGGCCGATGTGTTTTCAGCTATAACAAGGACCCGGCTGTTTAAGGTCCTAAGACTAACACTCCAACATCGAGATTTGCACACAGGACCGAGCCGACACTGAGTCTGTGCATTAGTTTATACCAATCTCCTTGTTGTCCTCGATGAACCTCGTGAACGGGCGGCTGGCCCCTGTCTCCAAGCTGACTTTGTCCAAGCCGACAGCAGGAGGGCTGCTGCCTGTGCGCGCCTTGTCCATTCCGCTGCTGAGGTTATTCAGGGAGGGGATGGCGCTGCCGCCGAGGCTAACTGGGAGCTGGGGTATGCCCCCATTCTGTATGACAGAAATCTCATTGTTCTTCATGGCAAGGCCATTCGTGAGAGCCGCAGCATACTGGTTCCAAAAGTTGGGGTCCACATTCATGGCTCGAGCTGCCAAATCCTTTTGGAACATTTCAGAAAACTTCAGGGCATCACCCCCTAACAGAGCCATGGGGTTTTCCACTGAGAGCCGGCGGCCTCGTCTGGCGGGCGCGTTATTCCACATGTGTGTCCCCATGTGGACCTGCATGTGAAATATGACAGAGAACAAGTTCAGATGGGCGAAGCGGGTTTGTTCCCTCTTTAGCCAATTCATGACATGCCCACTAGCCATGTGGACACCTTTGTCGGTAAGTGCAGTCAGGTCGGTTCCGACTCATAATGACCCTGTATAGGGTTTCCGAGGAGCAGCTGGTGGATTTGAACCATCCACCTTGTGGTCTGTAGTCCAGTGCTTATCCTACAGAACCACACCGAAGTCCAAGCCACCTGGATACCTCTAGGTCTTGTTTGCTCAGGACTTTTGCCTGTGCTAAGCATTCGTTTGGGAATAGTTGTAGACAGACTACAGACAAGCCTACAAAAATAGAGGAACATGAACTCCTAAGACCATCTTAACCTCGAACAAACAAACAATGTTTGTCTTTACGACACACAAAGCCCAAAAAAGTGAACAAGTGAGGTAATGTGCAGTTGGCATCTTCCAGTTGGCAAACCTGACCCACAATCACGGGATTGCCTGAATGTTACAGACCTCAGATACTACCAAATGCAACCCCTCAGCTCACCCCAGCCCTGTGGCCCTTCTGCCTCTCCTCCGCCCTGCTCCTCCCGCTCTGGTGAACTATGCTTCGAGTTCTCTCTTTCAAACACGAGGAGATGTTCAGTGGAAAGCAACCAGGGGCACCTGAGGTCAGCAGAGGGCCCTCAAACTGCTTCTGGTGTGTGGGCGTGTCTCTTTAGAGGGTCTGACAATGCCCCCGCGTAAATTTTACAGAAAGTGAAGGCTGGGCATTCAGCTGAGACACTGTCCACATCCAGCATTCTGTTTTCCAAGGAAGACACACGAGGTATGTGGTTTTCTCAGGGCACATCAGAACATTCACTTTCCCTCTTCTCACCAACACCATCTCCAGCTCCTCTGGTCAGTCTTGTGGACAAGACAGTGGGACATTACAGAAACCAGGAAGTATGCCTGTCCCATATGAGAGCATTTACAAGCCACATTTACTTGGTAGCAGCAGAGATTCAAGAGTGTGCCAGGCTCTGGCTCTGCCCACCACACTGCCGGCTGTGTGATATCACCACCTGGGCCACATGCTGGCCACAGCCTCTCAAGGGTAGCAGCCACCTGAGCCTCTTCCAAGAGGTAACCTACATCACAGGGTGAGCCCAGACGTCTGCACCACACAGCATACACCTGCTCCCAGGACAAGTGGGCGTGCACAGGCATGTCCACCCTCCTCACATGCACCTTCATTTACATATATGCCTGCACACACACACACAAGCTACACCTGTAGTTACATGTACACCCTCACATATGTAAGCACCCGCACACACACACACACGTGTACATCTGCATTTACATGTATGTCTGCAAACACCTGCACTTACACTCACCTGCATTTACATATATACCTGTGTACATGAGCACAGTGCACACATGAACATGTGCACCGACACCTACACACGCACCCGACACACACGAGCACCCGCGTGCACACACATGTATGTGTGAACCCACATACATGCCCTCACACATATGGACACACCCATGTACTTGCATTTACACACACCCACCCTCACACATGTGCGTGCAGATATATGTGCCTGCATTTGCAAATATGTACTTATGTGCACACAAAACTACACATGTGCACACCTGTGGCAAATGCATGTTTCAGCTTTTATTAACACACATGTAGTTGTGTGCACATACCCACACACATGTGCACCTGCATTACAAACATGCACACACACACTCCAACTGCCCATGACTTTTCCCGTTTCATGGCCAGGACCACAGTGTCTACTGTGTCCACCTGATCCACAGGGAGTGGCCTCCTTGCAGCCCTGCCCGTGTCCTCGATTCAGACAGAGCTTCGCACGCCTCTTACCTTGAGGTTCCCCTTGGTGGTAAAAGCTCGCCCGCAGATCGTGCAGCCAAAGGGCTTCTCCCCAGTGTGTGTCCGCTCGTGGATCTGCAGGGCGCTGGCTGACGAGAAGGTCTTCCCGCACGACTGACAGTTGTGCTGCTTGGGGGTCCGGCGCGGCGGGGGGGCCAACAAGGGGGTGACACCAGGGCTCATCACTGTCTGTGGCCCGGTGGGGACCTGGATTCCAGCCGGGAGTGGGGGGCCCTCACCCAGAGAGACAGGCTTGCTGTGGCCGTTCACTTCCATCCTGATGGTGGTGGGGGTGGTGCTGGTGGCCAGGCTAGGAGAACTTTGGCTGGGACCTAGAGCAAAGTTGGGTTCAAACAACTGAGAAGGCAGCTCTTTGAATGTGTGCGTCAGTATGTGCTGTTTTAAATTACCCACCGTGGAGCACCCACGACTGCAGGCCGTGCAGACAAAGGGACGCTCCTTCGTGTGGCTGCGGAAGTGAATGTCCAGAGCACTCCTGCAAGCAAAGGGCTTGCCACAGACACTACACACAGTGCTTTCACACTTACCCCGTTCTCTGTTCAGGAACAGCAGGCTAAAGGGGGCCTCCTCCTTGACCACAGGCCGGCCCGGGGGCGCCGCTGTCAGATCCAGGGCGCCTCCATTCTCAGAAGCCGGGGGTGCTGGGCTGTCTGGCTTTTCTGTCTTGAGCGCTAGTTCCTGAGGCTCCTGGTTGCCGAGGCCTGGGGACTTGGAGCGGAAACTCTCGCTGTGGCTGTGGATGGGGGACAGTGGCTGCATGGAGGAGGAGGAGGAGGACGTGGCAGGGCTGCCGGCGCTCTGGCTTTCCAGATCCCCCGCAGCTGACGAGGAATCGTTACTCAGACGGTCGTCACTCTCCCCAGACCCAGTCTCCAGGGACTTGAGGCCGGTCAGTTGCTGGCAGCCCATGACTGAGTCCATCATCTTCATCTGGTTCTCCAGGGCGGCGATGCTGGAGATGACCGAGGGTGGTGAGGGCGGGCAGGAGCCGGAGAAGGTCAGCAGGGGCTTGGACGGGTCGGCCCCGGGGTCCTTCAGCTCCGGATCGTCTTCCACAGAGTTCTCATCCACGTCGTCCTCATAGTTGCTCAGGGCATCGGTACTCTTCTCGTCCAGGGCGAGCTCAGTGTCCATGGCCTCCTGGAAGCCCTCGGGCAGGGGTGTGTTGGGGATCTGGCCCCCCATGTGCATGCGGATGTGCTGTTGCAGGACCACGGCGTTCGTAAACTTCTTCTGACAGATGGGGCAGGAATGCTGCACCCTGAGCGGCGGCTTGGCCCGGTGCACGCCAAAGTGCGTCTTCAGGTTGCCCTTGGTGGTGAAGGCCCGGCCGCAGATCTTGCACTTGAACGGCCGCTCCCCGGTGTGCGTCCGGTAGTGCATCTTGAGGGCACTCTGGCAGCTCAGCACCCGGTGGCAGATGACGCACTGGTTGGGGTCTGTCATTTTCTTGTCAATATTCTCCACCAACTGCTGAAGCTTCGAGGTCTCTGATGTTTGCATAGAGTCAAGCAGGCCACCGAACGGAAACTTGGCCTTGAACTGGTCCGAGGCTGCAGGGAGCCCGGGGTTGGAGAGACTGGAGGGTACGTTGCTGTCGGTGGCCGGAGGGACCACTGGCAGGGGCACGGCAGTGGCCTGCCCACTGGCTGGGGGGTCTCCGGCCCTGGTGCTTGTAGGAGGCAGGCTGAGGGGCTCAGTTTTGGTCAGTGAGGCCGCACTCAGGAGGGGCTGTGGGGACTCAGCTGTCACCGTGCCACCGGACTCGGGGTTGTTGAGTCCAGGTGACAGGGAGGTGCACTCGCTGGAGGCAGGTGAGGGCCTCTGTGGGGAACGGCTCACGGGTGTGAGGCTGGGAGAGTCGGCAAAGCTGGGCACGGTGGGCGGCAGTTGCAACCCCAGGGACGTGGGGACCGTCGGCAACACCGGCTTGCTGTCCAGCCAGGTGGTCACCGGCTTTTCTGGAGGCAGGGACATTCCATAGGGGATGCCGGAGCAGGTGGGCACATTGTCGAGGTATTCCGGCACGGGGTAGGGGTTCATCTGGATGTGAGGGTACTTCTCCTTGTGCCTCTGGAAGTGGACCTTGAGGTTGCCCTTGGTGGAGAACCGGTTGCCACAGATGTTGCACTTGAACGGCCGCTCGCCTGTGTGTGAACGCAGGTGGATCTGCAAGGCGCTGTCGCTGCCAAAGACCTTGGCGCAGAACCTGCACTTGTGCTTGAAGAAGGGGTCCTCGGAGCTGGCTTTAGGCTCGAACACGGACACATTGGGGGGCTTCCCTTTGCGGTGCTTCATGAGGGCTGAAAGCGGGTCCAGCGCGTTGGCCGTGGCCGCAATGCTGACCAGTGGGTTGGGGAAGATGACGGTACTGGAAGAGGTCTGAGGTAGAAGTGGGTTTGGCAGACCAGACGCCGAGGTGAGCAGCATCCCAGGTCCCAGGGTGGGGGGCGTGGGGGCACTCTGCGGCCGGGAGGAGCTGCTGGCCACACTGGACACAGAGGGAGGGGTCGCTGAGGCGGGGGCCGTGCTGGATGACACAGGGATAGTGGGCTCCGCTGGGGCCGGGGGGCCGCTGCTGGGGACGCCAGGGGTGCTGGCCCTGGGCGAGGGCTGTGAGAGGAGTGGGGGACCCTCGTAAGTGGCTGGTGGGGCACTGGGGGTGGGCCCTGCAGTGGAGAGCTGGAGAGCTGGGTGGGCAGCAAAGCCCTGCAGCTGGCTGGTGGCCGGCCCAGGGGTAGTGGGGGTGGCGGCAGCCGCAGCCGTGGGGTTCAGGGTGGGCCGCAGCGACTGGCGACTCATCATGGCCACCTGGCTGCGGATCTGCTCGATGAGCTGAAGCTGGTGGATCTGTTGCTGCTGCAGAGACACCAGCTGCTCCAGGATCATGGGGATGGCCACTGCGGAGACGCCGCTGCCCGGGCCCGCGCCGCCCGCTGCCCGCCCGCTCTGTGAGAACTGGGCCACTGCCACCTTAGTGCTCAGCAGTGTCTCCAGGGTCACGTTGGTGCTGGGCATGCTGTAGCTGGCCATGGCTGTGGGCTCCGGACCCGGAGGCAGGGTTGGCTTGGTGGCGGCCACAGGGCCTTTGTCCCCAGGGCCCTCCACGTCCATGGGCTCCTCTTCCTCGTCCGCAGCCTTCAGCTCGCTGCTCTCCCCGGTCTCGGCCGGAGCAGCCTCTTCTGCCTGCTCGCTCTCTGCCTGCTCGCTGGGGGAGCTGGCAGGAGAAGGTTCCGGAAAGTCTTCAGAGGGTGGTGCTGGCTCATCTTCGTGGACGATTAGCACCAGCGGATTCTTGGTGCAGCTCTTCTTGTGCGCCAGGAAGTGGGCCCGCTTGAAGAACTCGGCACAGCACTTGTCACACACGTCCGTCTCCTCGCTCCCGCTGCGGCTCTCGTTCCCGCTGTCACCTTCGTCCGCACCGCCGTCCCCGGGGACCACTGGAAGACCAAAAGACTGTATCAGCCAGGGCCTGCGGGACAGCCCGCCCTCCATTTTAGAATTTTGCACATCAGTAAAATCAATATTTTTTATTTGGTACAAATTACCCCACTTCAACCATTCTGACGCCTGGCGTGTGTGCTCCATGACTCTTTCTAGCTAGCTAATCATTTTCTTAGCACAATCCATCAAATTATGAGGCTCTATCAATTGTGGATACTGCTTCTTAATGAAATTCCATAGAAGGCATTGATTTCCAATATTTTCATACAATCGCAGCTACCTTGTCGTTGGGTACAAAGCTAGCCTTCAACAGGCTCATTAGGATTCCCCTTCACCAGCCGGCTTCCTCATTTCCAGCAAAATGAGAGAGGCCCTTACCAGTTCAGTTAACATTGCTAAACTAATCTGTGACCTTTCAAACTCACATCAGCTCCTGACAGGGCACGCCAGGCGTCTGCTACTCAAGTGTGGCCGTGAACCACCTGGATTTATTATCTGTACGCAGCGCTGGACATCAGATTCAGCGTGGCTCCTTATAACCTTTCAGATCAATACGCAGTTATCATACGCAGGAAACTTCAGTTAAACGCTTTCATTTGTAAATGTAACAAAGAAAACATGGGCATTTCTCATATCTCTACCGAGAAAAACAATCTATTGGGTCTGCTGATGGCTTCACAGGCCAACCCCCCATCTCTCCTCCCTCCCTCTTGGACTTAAGAGATAAGGCAAATGTCTACGTTATGATTTGCAAAATGCGTGTCGATACAGCTGGACCAGAAACTGATAATGTCTGATACAATCAATTGGCTCTGTCAGATGCAATATTTCTTCGAGAAATGCACTAAAATTACATGTTATTGGTCTTAGCCAATAGAGTTCAGTGCTTTGTTAACAAACTAGAAATTAAATATTTAAAGTTCATTTATGTTGACATGTTTAACATGAGAATGTTGTAGTCAGACACACTTTCTGTACCTATTTTCATCTATTCTCATAGAAAGACTTAGCAAATTATATGCTTGCACCATAGCAGAAAACCCACTAATTGGTTACACATGTTTAATTACTATTGTAGGCATTCACTTCCTCTGACTCCCGTTACCCTCTTGTGCCGAATAACAACCATGTTTAATGAACAATTCTAATTCACACCTGATCAAATAAATAGCTTCCCAGGCACAGGCAATCAACATACAATAACATTTGTAGCTTCCCTTTTTTTTCGGCTAGTGGGGTGAAAGGTAATGCCTGGTAATTAGTCAGGTCCGATGTGCTGCTCTGGACATTGCTGCTCGCAACTGCTTTTTGTCAACTTGCAGATAGAGTGACAGCTACAAATCAAACAGGCTGGAATGACAGCCGCCGAGAGGTTCTTTGTTAAACATGCAGAGCTTACTGTAAGAAGGAAACATCTCCAAGCCTGCTGAACACAGAAGTATTTACTGTTACAGCATTTACAAATACATTTGTGAAAGTCTCCAAATTTTTATTCTCTTTAAATGTTTGGAAAAGGGAATCTAGAGTTCTGCACCAATTCCAATAGACTAACTGGATTTTAAGAAAAAAATTATGTGCATATACATAAATGTGTATGTATGTATCATATATATATATATAAAATCCCTCTTCGGGAAAAAAAAAAAAGATATTTATTTTTTGAGCACAGCCTGCTGCCCTCCACAAGGCCATAGCTCCAGGCAATTTTTACATGCCTTTAAAAATGATTAGCGGCGTTCAATTAGCATTTTCCTGACTGGCTAAAGCATTTGGGGGCACAAGAAGTTGGAGCTTGCAGGTCATAAAGACCTGCTAGACTTTTAAACTCAATTCAGGGCTGAAGACCGGCCAGCCCAGAGCCTCATTACTGTATGAGGTAAACACTGTAATAAGTATCAGTAATGAGGTGTACTATAGCTAGGAGCAAAGACACAGCGGATTTCTACTGCAGATAGGCACATTAGCAAAATAAATACCCAGAGGACTTAACTTTGCTCAATGTATGCAAAATCTAATTTTAAACTTCCTAAGGTTATGGAACAGAGAAGACCAAAAAAACAAACAAAACAACCCACATTCACAAAAAAACAAAAACAAAAACAAAAAACCCACCCCAAAACAAAAAAACAAAACAGCAGCCTAAAATCTCCAGGTAAATAATTTCTCCATGATTAAAGAGATAAGGGTTATCTCAAATTCCATTCAAGTATTTTAATAATTATCACACAATGTCAAGAATCTCTACTTCTACATTTCTTTATAAATAATAGAAGAATGCTGTTTGTTCTATACACCCATTCTAAGGCTTAAAAAAGTTCTATGGCAGATGGAATGAATGAAAAGAAAATGGAATTTTTCCATGAACTTCTTGAAGATCCCTCGTAGATTTAAAAGACATCTAAGAGGCTATTTACAAGAAATAATTGGAATCACTATTAGTATATCATGCTATGTACCTAGAAATAATTACCAAAACAAACAAGGAAAATTATGTTTTTAAAAGGTGTTTTTTATATTTAAAAACTATGCTATAAAAGGTCTGTTTATGATCTTCACAAATAAAGATTTTTATTTTAATACTCTTTGAAAAGGAAAATGCCCAGGAGAAACAAAATATTGCCAATTTCTTAAAACATTTTCTACCTTAACTCTTCACAGAAGATAAAAATGTACAACTTTTATATTATTGAAGAACTTTGTAAAGGTTTACAAACTTTAAATGTTACAAAATTAAACTATGTACATCGCATTAAAATAATAAAATTTCTTCAAATGAAATATGTATTAGGGTTACTTTGCTGAGAAGATGCTTGCAAATTAGACTGAGTTCTGGATCATTTAAAATGCATTTATTAAAACCATTTTAGAAGAATTAACTTACATAACTGTGAATTAATTGTATCTTTACAAATGGACATTCTCAGATGTCCTTTGTCATAAGCTGGCTTGTGAAAAGGGGACTTAAGACTTTGTGCATTGCCTATAGGTCTCTCAGCACCTCACATGTCTCTATTTACCTTAAAGATGAAAGTTTTTATAGTCCCCTTAGTTTTTTAGGTGTTAGGTTATTTTCAGGGTTCACTTTCAAACCCCCTGCGAGTTTGAGGAGGGTTCCCACAGCTAATTTCCTTTTTCCCATTGGTTGGTTTGTGAAATTCAACTACTTGTTTCTTGACTGCGAAACTGCACAGAATATTTTAGCTCCTTAATGTAACTACTACTACTCATTACTTAAATATAGCGGCGATATCCGGGTCAAAGTAAAGTAATCTTCTACTCATATTCCTTCAAAATTGATGAAGAAAAGCACTTTAAATTTTACAATGGCATTCTGACCATTTGGGTCTGTGAACAGTTTATTATGTCAAAGAATCTAACAGAACAGACAGCTGTTGGATTTTAAAAGCAAAGCTTCAGGACAGATTTGACTTCTGACTCAAATAGATCTTTAAAATGACAGTGTAGTAAAGAAAAAAAATCTTCAGTATAGTTCAGACTTATTTTGGGCAAATGATTTGAGATGATTAGCTATAATTATTTAAATTGGAGTTTGTCTAAAATGCCAGTAGCTTGAGCACTTAAACTGTGATTCTCAGGTGCCCGATTTTTACTATAAAATGTGAACGAGATGGGCATCTCACAAAGTTACAGAGAAGCACAGATTTCCTAGGAAAGCCTGCAATACAACAAATACAAACGAAAACCTCCCCTTCGGTTTACATAACTTGAAGAATGTTACTAAACAATGACAATGAGCATCCCAACTAAACGGGATCAGTAAGAAACAAAATGAGTACATCCTGCTAGGAGAGCGCAAGTTCCTTAGAATGATCAGGAATGATCAGGCCACGTTACTGAAGAGCAGAATGAGAAATCAGGGACTGATGCATTCAGAAAGCAGGGGCTGGGCTGGGCTGGGGTGTGGGGGGAGAGAGAAAGGAAACAGTTCTTACAACTAGCCTCCATGTGTCTGCTCATGACAATTACAAAATGTATCTCAGACAGGCTGTTTGTGTCTAATCTGACATTATGTTTATAAGAAAATCTACATGGGAAAATCTGAATGCAGCTTCAATTTTATGATATAAATTCCATAAAGCCCTTTAATCCTGCCATAGTATTAAGCAATACGATGTCAGAATCAAATGTACTTAAGCATCTCTTAATTAAATGTACATTTTGAGCTGGCCTTTATGTTCTACAAGTAGACATTATTACACCCATTAGTTAATATGGCTTAAAATTTTTATTTCTATGAAATGCCATACCAGTGGAACATTAAAACAGCAGTGACAAGTATGGGAAATTTATTTGCAGTGCAATTTTCATTTTCTTTCTTTCTTTCTTAAGGGGGGAATTAAAAAACAAACATTATAAACATTATCATTAATGTCAAAGTAATTTATTTTTTGCACACTGACTATTCAACAACTCAGAGATTAGAAACTGTGAATAGGCAAGGGATTAAGCATGAATTTATAGTACATAAGGGTTATATTAGAACAAGTGAAGGAAAATGCCAACCAGCTCACCAAGTCATAGAACTTAGGAAACAGTCTTCCCTCCTCAGATAAGAGAAACACTTGAGTTCAGGTTACTCCCTAAAGCTGACATCTGTTTGCTGTCCTCATTGTTGGAAATGCGAGGAAGGTAAAAGGCCCTGGCCTGAGAATTATTCTTCCTTTGCTCATGTCAAATGTGAACTCAATTCCAAGCCTTCCAGTAGTTGGTCTGCATTTAGGAATTTATACAATCAGGAGTAGAGAAAAGAATGGGACTAAAGACGTGGAATTATTTCAGTTCAAGAGAGGGACTGTGTATCATGAGTTGATAAGTTATACTTAAAATGTTCAGAGTTCCAAACTGAATCGCTGTTCAACAGAAATCTCGATTGAGTTCTATGCATTTCTGAATTCCACAGGAGAAGGAAAGAAGGTTCTAGAACCTTTCATATAAAGCTGGGGACAAAGGAGCAGCTTTAAAAATGATACTTGTT